GTGTTCTGGGCTGTAGGGGTGTACGGGACAGTAGTGGGTGTTCTGGGCTGTAGGGGTGTACGGGACAGTAGTGGGTGTTCTGGGCTGTAGGGGTGCATGGGACAGTAGTGGGTGTTCTGGGCTATAGGGGGTATACGGGACAGTAGTGGGTGTTCTGGGCTGTAGGGTGTGCATGGGGCAGAAGTGGTGTGGTAGGTCCAGTGAGGGGAACGGGCATGCCCACAGTCACCAGGGAGCAACACACACTGAAGACCCGGGACCGGGTGCAGCTGCCCTGAGCCCATGGCGGGCCTCCCCGGGGACCGGGTGCAGCCGCCCTGAGCCCATGGCGGGCCTCCCCGTCAGAGCCGTGCGGCTGGAGCGGACGGTGCGGCTGGAGCGGTCCAGCTGAGCCACCCTCATCCTTCCGGTCTCCGCTGCTGGCAGGCAGGTACGGCCCGGCCCTTCTGGTCCTTGTGGCCCCAGTGGGCAGCCATAGAGCGCTGAAGGCCCATGTGGCCCTCCCTGTGCTCAGCCTGGGGTGGCCGTGTCCTCACAGGAGACCGCACCCCCAGACAGGCAGGGCCCTGGCACCGGGCGGGCGTGGCGGCACCTTCAGGCGGCCTCGGTGGCCACATCCGTGGGGGGCCCGCGTGACGCCGGCTCTGCGCGGCCCCTTGGCCAGCGCTGCCGGGGGACACAGCGCAAGGTTCCCTCTCGGCGCCTCAGGCCTGCGCCAGCCGTGAGCTGTGGCTGTCCACAAGCGCTGCCTGCCTCTCGCGGGCTTCGTGCACGTCCGGCCACGTCCCTGCGGGGGAAGGTGGAGGCCTGGCTGGAACTGCACGGAGCAGGCCCGGACAGCAGACACAGCGTGGGCAGCCATCGCTAGGACCTCCTCGCCTTCTGTCACCGTCCTGGGGCCTGAGAAAGGCCCAGCTCCTCTAGCTACGCCTCGGCTGCTGGTTAAGCCCTTTGCGGGTGAGGAGGGGGCTGACGGGGGAGAGAAGCCCCTGCCTGATGGCCTCGGCTGTGGGAGCTCGGGGCCGCTCAGCTCGTGAGCTCCTGTCCTGGAGCATGCGGCCTGCACCCCTCCCAGGGGCCTCCACCCAGCCTCGCTCCTGCAGTGGCCCTCTCCTGTGACAGTGTGTGCTCCAACTTTACTTTTCTTTCCTAATAAAACAGTGGTGAAGCCGGGCACCAGTGGCTCATGCCTGTCATCCTAGCTACTCAGGAGGCTGAGATCTGAGGATCCAGGTTCAAGAGCCAGCCCGGGCAGGAAAGTCTGTGAGACTTTACCTCCAATAAACCACCAGAAAACCAGAAGCGGCACTATGGTTCAGGCGGTAGAGCACTCACCTTGAGCTGAAGAGCTCAGGGACAGCACCCAGGCCCTGAGTTCAAGCCCCATGAACGACAAGAAAAAGGGAGGTGTTTCTGTTGGCTGCGTGTTCAGCAGTCAGAACTACAGGATTGGCGGCTCTGAGAATCCAAAGGAGCGGGGAGGCTGTATTCTCTCCTTCGGCCTCTGCGGCTGAGATTCTGGCCGGCAGGAGTTGGGGAGGAGGCGGCGTGCTGGGCTGGGCCGGAGCCTGCCATGGACGGCGCTTGGAGAGCTGCTGCTGTGGCAGCACCGAAGGCACGAACGCGGAGCTAAAAGGAACTCTTAGCCTCTCCCCAGCCGTGTGGCGGGAGGCTGGGTTGGCTCCCAGGAGACCATGGGAGGCTCGCTGGCCAGGGCTTGGCCCAGCGTTGCCATCAATAATCATGAAGAACAGTGTAAAACAACATAGTCTCTGTGTTGTTTATGGACTGCTTCTGCTGGCCATGAACACGTGCGTGCGCCGTGTTCCTGACCCCTCCCCAGTAGGGACAGACGAGGAAACCGAGGCACACAAAGCCCAGCTCAGAAACTGGCCAGTGTGGGAGGCAGGCTTGAGGCTGGTGGTCTGGCCCCAGCTCCCCGCCCCGGCCCTGTCCCCCGTTCCCAGCGTGGCTCAGCGGAGGGGATGGAGGGGCTGGGGGTGAGTTGAGAGCTGGACACACAGCAGCAGCACAGGCCTCCTCACCGTGGCCTCCCTGCGGCGCAGATGCGCCGATGTCGGTGGTGGGGCGAGGCCCGGCCTCCACAGAGGCTACGCTTAGAGACACACAGGTGTCCAGTCTTCGGACTGTTACCCACACGCAACCTGCGCTCGCAGAGGTCTCCCTACTAGCCCAGCTAGAAGGACCGAGAGCTCCCAGACTCTGGGGAGGGGCCTGGGTGGGAGGGGCCCGGCTAGAGGGAGAGGGAGGGGCTGGGCTGGAGGAAGTAGGAGGGCCCTGGGGAGAGGGGGAGGGGAGGGCAGGGTGTGACGCTTGTGTCCTCCCTGCTGGCTGAGCTGACATGGCTGCCCCAGACCCTGCTCTGGGGAGTTCGGCTCTGCTCTTCAGTGGGCAATGGAGGAGGAGGAGAGAACTTTTAATTAACCGGGGAGAGCAGGAAGTGGATCATGCAAATCCTCGGCATCTCTTTAGCTTCTGCTGATTGTTCTTGATTAAACCCCATAAAAATAGCCCAGCTGCCCGAGTGTGTGTGTGTGTGTGTGTGTGTGAGTGTGTGGCGGTGGGGTCAGCCTGCCCGTCCACACTCACTGTGAGGCACAGATGGTGTCCTGGGCTCTCTCATGCCACCGTCTTGAGGGGCTCTGCCCAGGGCCACCTTCAACTTGGGGACACAGGTGTCCCGAGGGCCATGCCGGGGAGGAGGGGCAGCGGAAGGCAGGGATGACTTTCAGACTACAATCTGCTTTTCCTCCTTTGCCCACTGGCCATCCACCGGGCCCCGTGCCCTTCGCCCCGGGCCTCACAGGCCCGGCAGCACGCGGCGGCTGGCGGGCGGCGGAGCCCACGTTGTGGGGCTGTAGCAGTGCACATAGTGGATGTGTGATCTTTTTGGATGTAAAAGACAGCGTTCAGCCACGTGGGGGTAGGAGGTGGGGTGTCATCTCTGCTGGGGCCCACCCTGAACCCAGGTGTCTGTGGGGGTCCCTGCCCCCTGGCCAGCACCTCGGAACAAGCAAGGTGGCACTGTTGGGGGTGGAAGCCACAGTTTCCAGGCTGGGGCTCTGAGCTCCTCCCGCCGCCCCTCAAGGCTCCTGTGGCCCACAGGTGTCTCCAAACCCCTCACTGCCTGGAGGGGTGTCAGCCCCTGGGTCTGAGCACTGTGGGGGTCCTCAGGACCCAGGGCCACGGGTGCCTGGCTTGGTGATGCCTGTGGCAACTTTGGGCAGTCTCCTGCCTGAGGGCAGCCGGGGCCGCTGGAGAGGGCCGGCGAGGCCTGAGCCGCTGCTGGTCGTCCGGGAGGCGGCGGCAGGCCCAGGGCACAGCTCTCTAGGATTCGCTCCACACCAGGGGCTGTCCCCAGGTCCACTCCCCAGAAGCCGGGCCCCCGCTTCTGCTGCTGAACTGGGGGGGGGCTGCCCTGCAGAGGGGACATTTCCTGCCATCGGGAGGTCTCTGGGGCCAGGACACCAGCACCTGCCTGCCAGGCCAGCCAGCGCCTTGGTGCCCTGCTGTCCTGCTGGGCGCCAGAGAGCTGTCTGAGCGCCTTCCTCCACCGGGCCACCGGCTGTCCGCCCACTAGGTGGCGCTGTGCTCCCACGGCCGCCAGGGCCTCTGCCAGCTCCACCCAGGGCTTGGGCCGCGGTGGAGGAGAGGGGGCTCTGGCAGAGGCACACTCCCCACAGGGAGGGAGCAGGTGGGCCAGGCTCCCCATGCCCACCCCTGCTGTGGCCTCCTCCTTGGCAGCACGGCTTCTGGGGTCCTAGCTGCTTCCCACTGGCAGCGGGTCCTGTGACCACATGAGGACTCCCGCCTCCTTCCTTGTCCCTCCTCCTCCCCGGGCCCTTCCCCCTCCCACCACCTCGTCGCGGCTCAGTACCCAGTTATGACCCCTCCTAGGTGTAGATCAGGGGCTGAGGCAGGCCTGGCTGTCCACAGGCTGGGCTGCTGCGGCCCTCCCTCCTGGGGGGCACCCTCCCCTCTGCAGCTCTGGCCTGACACCTGCAGCCCTTCTGCAGGCCCGGCTGGCCACGCCTCCCTCCTGCCATCCCCACACTGGGGCCTGCAAGGCCAGCCTGCAGACACAGGGCGCTTGCGTGCCTGTGCGCGGTGGACCTGGGGAGGGGGGGCGGCGGACCTGGGGAGCAGGGGAGGGCAGGGGCTGGGACTCCAGGGAGTCGTGATCGCAGGGCTGTTGACAGGGTGTTGTCTGGGGGTGGGGCAGGGGGTGTCCCCCTTCTAGGCTCACAGTGGCCGCACAGTGAATGCACCCACATCCACCAAGAACGCCCGTCACCGAGTCCCAGGGGCAGAGTGGAGCCTAGTCTCAATCACGTTTTCCTGCTGCCGATGGGCCGCGGAGGGAGGACCGTCTGCGCTGTCCACGGGACCGAGGCGAAGCGGCCCCTGGTGTGGGGAGGCACTTGGGCCCAGCCCAGGCCCATCCGGGTCTCCCCAGGTGGGGCCCTTGGGAGGACAGTCACATGAGGCTCCAACAGTGGTGTGACATTGGCCAACCCTGCCAGCTCTTCCTACTGACTCCACAAAGAAGCCAAGTCGTCATCTCTCAGTCCCGGGCAGCTCGGGCCACGTCGCAGCCCAGGTCACAGCCCTGTGGGCCTCGTCTCCAAGGGTCACCTCTCTCCCTAGCAGCCCCGTCCTCTGTCCCACTAGTCATACCTGGGGCTGCCTCCCCCAGCCACTGCTGTGACTGACACAGCACCTCGAATCAGCAACCACCACCGAGTCACAGCCCCATGGGGCCGGGCCCCGGCAGGTACTCACCGTGCTGGTGGTGAATTCTGGCGGGTTGTCGTTCACGTCTGTCACTGTGATGATGGCTGTGGCTGTGTTTGAGAGGCCATAGTTGAGATTCCCTTCCATGTCTGTGGCCTGGACAATGACTGTGTACTGCTGGACTTTCTGTGGGGGAGGACAGTGGGTCAGCCAGGCTCAGGGGTGGGGCCCACCCCTCCCCCATGGGGTCTCCTCCCCGGACAGGGCTGAGTGCCTGTGGCCGAGGGCCCAACCCCTCTGGACCTCTGGGCAGCTGCTGCCTGTGGGCCTCCCTTCCCTTGCTATGTCTCAGGGCCTTTGCAGACAGGTCACCTTGGCGCCACAATGGAAAGGGGTCCAGAGAGATGAGCTCTGTATCATTTTTGGGGAACAGAGGGGAAAGCTTTCAGGTGAGGGATAAGCCTGTGGCTATGTGTAGGGGTGTCACCACAACTGCGTTCATAGAGCACCTCGGGACAAAGGCAAGGGGCCAGCACAGGAGCGGAGACGCCTCTGCGTGCGTGGCCCTGAGGAGGTCAGGCTGGGGTCCCCCCCCGCCCCCTGTGCCCTGGGGAGGTCAGGCTGGGGTGCCCCCCCACCCCATGTGCCCCGGGGAGGTCAGGCTGGGGTGCCCCCCTGCCCCCTGTGCCCCGGGGAGGTCAGGCTGGGGTGCCCCCCTGCCCCCTGTGCCCTGGGGAGGTCAGGCTGGGGTGCCCCCCTGCCCCCTGTGCCCCAGGGAGGTCAGGCTGGGGTGCCCCCCTGCCCCCTGTGCCCTGGGGAGGTCAGGCTGGGGTGCCCCCCACCCCATGTGCCCTGGGGAGGTCAGGCTGGGGTGCCCCCTGCCCCCTGTGCCCCGGGGAGGTCAGGCTGGGGTGCCCCCCCGTGTGCCCTGGGGAGGTCAGGCTGGGGTGCCCCCCTGCCCCCATGTGCCCCGGGGAGGTCAGGCTGGGGTGCCCCCCTGCCCCCTGTGCCCCAGGGAGGTCAGGCTGGGGTGCCCCCCCACCCCATGTGCCCTGGGGAGGTCAGGCTGGGGTGCCCCCCCGTGTGCCCCGGGGAGGTCAGGCTGGGGTGCCCCCCCGTGTGCCCCGGGGAGGTCAGGCTGGGGTGCCCCCCCACCCCATGTGCCCTGGGGAGGTCAGGCTGGGGTGCCCCCCCACCCCATGTGCCCTGGGGAGGTCAGGCTGGGGTGCCCCCCACCCCATGTGCCCTGGGGAGGTCAGGCTGGGGTGCCCCCCTGCCCTGTGTGCCCTGGGGAGGTCAGGCTGGGGTGCCCCCCTGTGTGCCCCGGGGAGGTCAGGCTGGGGTGCCGCCCTGCCCTGTGTGCTTGGGTGCAGCCTGGGGTGGTCAGGCTGGGGTGCGGGAGAGACCTTGGAAAGAGGGAAGGAGAGCTGCGTGGAGTGCTTTTCTAGCCTTTCTCTGCCCCCATGGCCGCTCCAGAAGATGGCAGTGCTGAATCCCGGTCAGCACTGTGGCCTGCATACACCCTCTTCCACCCAGATATCTGCAGGGATGAGTGCATGCGTGTGCATGTGTGTGTACACGCATGTGTACGTGTGTGCAGACATCCCCTGGGACTTGCCACTCTCATTGCACTGTGAGGGAAGAAGGCTCTGGGGGCCAGGGAGAGGCGTGTCCTCGGGTGACACGAATCCTGCTCTGCCTCTAGGAGGCTACACCTCGCCATATAGCTCAGTGACGTGTGCTCGAGTTCACACATGGCTGGCTCCACGTTATGTGTGCACGCACGAATGTGCATCCGTGTTCCCAAATGTATGTACACGCACGCCTGTGGTGATGCAGTTTGTGTGAGTGCATGCACATGGTTGTGCGCATGTATTCCTGGTGTGTACTCACGTTTCTAAGGGTGCATGGGTCATGTGTGTGTGAATGCAGTTGATGGCCACTAGAGGGCAGGCCAGGTTTGCTTTTGGGCAGCCGGACTGGGGCCGGAAGCTAGCCCTGTGAGACCGGTGGTCAGGGCGGGTGTGGGTGGTGTCCACGTGTGCCCACAAGGCACCTCGGCCCCCCAGGTGTGTGGCCTGCGGTCTGTGAGGGTGGCCGCAGGTGGCTCGAGGCTCTTGTCTGTCTGTTTTGAACAGTGGGAGCAGGACTTTGCTGGGGTCCTGATGAGAATTTTCCTCTTCATGGGGAGACCCAGGTGAGATCCTGTCTGCTGGGTGCTGTGGTCTGGGACGTGAACACGCCCTGTGTGTGGCGGGCAGGGCGCAGGGGCCCCGCCGCACCCATTGCTGGCTGGGTCCGGGTGAGGGCCGAGGGCAGGGCTGTCCCGGGCTCTGTGGGCTCAGGAGGAGCGGGGGGGGGGGGCTCGGCGGCAGCAGCGGCCCTGCGTGGTCAGGAGCAGTGCCCCAGGGGCTCCCCAGTGGTGGCTCGGCCGTACCCAGCGGCACCCCGGCTCCCACGGCGCAGAGGCCAGGGCCGATGGCTGGGCCGCGGAGCCACAGTGGATGGATTAACGAGCCACAAGGCCGCTTTCAAGCTGGAGAGCAGACGAAAGCCGCAGGCCGCGCTCCCCGAGGCTTCGCTCAGCCTGGGGCTCAGCCTGGGGCTCCTCAGAACGCGGGGCAGCCACCCACAGGCGCGCTCACTCACCCCGCGCCCACCTCGGTCCCTGGCGCGTTGGGCCATAGCTTGGACCCCAAGTGCCCCTCAGGTCACACCCTGCCCGGCCAGGATGGGGCCCGTTTCAGCCCCCCCTCCCACCCCGCTGCCGGGACGCCTTCCTCGGCCCCCGGGGGCTGCTGGCACCGAGCAGGCGGTCAGCGCGTGTGGGCGGAGGGGAGAGCCAGGCAGGGCACAGACCCCGCCCCCTTCGGCCCAGGCTCCGCCCTCTGCTCCGGTGGCACGTCGGGCCGGAGCGCCGGCACGGTTAAACCCACGGCGGTTGTCCCTGTGCTCTGGGGCCCAGTGTCACACGTTTCCAGATGTGTGTGGGGGTCACTGGGTTTCCCGGAGGCGTCTGGACGTTCTGTCTGGGTGTTTGTCCCCTGCGCGCTGGCGTCGTCCCTCACCCGGCCTGCTCCCAGGCTGTCCGTGGCCACACTGCGGCCTCCGCTCTCCTGGGGTGCTGGTTGCTTGGCATGCGTGACACCCTGGGGTCCACCCTCAGCACCACACAAAAAATCAGAATCCCAAACTGCCATCTTCCCTTCTGCAAGCTGCCCCGGGAATGCGTGGCCCACTTCCACAAATCTCCACAGCTCTGCAGGGGCCCCTCCCCCTCCAGGGCCAACCGGGTGGCTCCCGGGCTCCCAGGGGCGTCGCCTGCAACGCTCTGCCCTGGCTGGGGTTGTAGCAGTGGAGGGCTTCGCGGGCAGCACCTCCCCCCTGCAGAGTACTGGTTGGTGAGCACATCTGGGAGGTTGGGCTCGTGGAGAGGACCCGCGGCACGTCCACTCAGGAGTACGGCCCCGCCCTGCTCTTCTGGTTGCTGTCGCCCCCAGCCTCCAGGCTGGGCCGGGCCGAAGACAGGCATCTCCGCACGGCTCTCGGCTGTCCTGATGGGCCACAGGGTGCCCCCTCCCACCAGCAGGGTACGGATGTCTGCAGGGCCTCTTGGGACTCTGGTGACCAGACATGATGCCAGGGGACGCGCCCCGTGAGCAAGGCAGAGGGGCAGCCGTAGACCTGGCCCAGGGGGGCGCACAGAGCAGGCAGCCCCGAGGCTGCGGGTGGAGTCTTCCTGTTCCTGAGCCACGCACTCGCCATCCTGCGTGGGGCTGTGGGCTGGACACTGCCCGGCCTACTCGTGGGCTGCCTGCCAGGGGCAACGAGCAATGGCAGGTCCCAGGAGGGGGGAAGCAGGGCCCACAGCTCTGGAGAGGAAGTCCGGGCCACGGGAGAGGTCCAGGAGAGGGGAAGCAGGGCCCACAGCTCTGGAGAGGAAGTC